GGGGGGGGGGGGGGGGGGGGGGGGGGGGGGGGGGGGGGGGGGTGTTGAAGCAGGTGCGGTTTGGTGTCCTTGGCGGCGGAACTATCGTGGTTTTCGGCGTTGCCAATGGTGTTAGCTCGGGCGAAAGGGCGTGTGTCCGATTTCGAGGACGCCCGAGGATGTTTTTTCGTTGGAGCGAAAATAAATTGTTTGGCACTTTTGGTGCGCCAACCTGCCCAAATATTTTCTCATTAATTTTTTTTCTCAGTAAGTATAATCCGGTGTTAACGGTTTCCTCCGCGATAACGTTGACGACATGGAACAGGTTAGTATTCCTTTTCATAAAAGAAAGCTCCCATGCATCATGAATCACTTCTTGTGTCGGTGCCAAACGTGCGCCACAGCGGTGCGCGCTTCTTGCTTGCATTGCAAGCAGCTTGCTTTTAATCACCCTACTCACACTCCAACACACATCCACCCACGAAAGAAAGTGCTCTACACCGAGAATGTCCCTCGGTGAAGACTTCACTGGGTGCGAGAGAAGAACCGCCCCACTCCAATTTGTTCGGAGGGTCAAAGCGTTGTCGTGGTGAATTTCACACGTTGTCCCAGCGAACTAGGTAAACGATACATTGGCTTAGACTTGTCTACAGCCGCAGCATGCAGAGCTGAGAACGCGATTCAGAGGGTAACATGGGCCGACACCGCTGCTGCCGTGTACACAACCATCACAGGGCGCTCGGAGACCGACGTTGGATCGAACAGCGAAGGGCTTCATTAAAAAATGCAGACGAGATCAAGGCTTTTTGACCGCTGGTGTTCGCTCTATCCAAAAGAATGAACGAATCAGACCACCAGCAGCATGCCCAGTCACGCCCGCGCTTGCGATGACAGCAGCGCAAGCACCGTGAGCTAGCAGCAGCAGCAGCAGCAGCAGCAGCGGTGCGCGGCGGTTTTGTATCCGGGAGCGAGATGATACTCATCCGCATGCATAGATGGGTACAACGCCTAGACCAAAGCCGCAATGACAGCAACAGGTCAAGAAATAAGTGAGCCTTGACGAAGGGAGGCATCTTTCGCAACAACAAACTCAGGCCGGTGTGTGCCTTCGCTCTCGGACCGAACATCAAACCCAAACCGTATCAAGCACAGCCAACTTCGAATGCCTCCTCCATCCAGCATGGTTTCAGGAGTACTCGCAGGAATACTCAACGCGCAGCTGGCCGAGCGCATCATCGGCGTGAGTAATTAGATCGATCGCTAAATTACAGAAAGCGCCCGCGCTTATACTACTAGTAGTGTCGGACTTCGCAGGTGCTAAGAAATCGAGCCAAAAAAAACTCAAAATCTAAAAACTTGAGCACCGTTTGCAACATCATTTAGGGGTCCCCCACTAGTAGTTGCGGTCACTCGCAGCATGATGATGACCTTAGGAGCTAAGAACCCCAGCCTCGAGCCTGTTGAGTGCGGGCGCTTTCTGTGCGTATAGTATTTTCGGCCCATTCCCATCCCGTCCTGCCGAAAGCACCCCTCGACAAGCCCACACACACACCCAACCCGCAGAGCACAGCAAAATGATAAAAAAAAACTCCGTATAGGCTACATGAGAAAAAGTCAGGCAATGCTAGCTGCGTACCCATAGACACACGTGTTCTTTGGCGGCACTTAAGCCCCGCGCACACCCTAACCCCGCGACGAACACCTCCCGGTTCGTCTTTGGGAAAGCCACCAGCCAAGAAAACGCCCTCTACACCCAACCTATTCCCCCCGTATGAACCCAAAGAGCGCCCCTCACATGCACCAAAAACTTCGATTCATGGAACGGAAATAAACAATAAACGGAGGGGGGAGGGGCAACACCCGAAGAAGAAGAAAACCCAACCAGGCGCCCCCCGGTGTGGGATGGGAGGTTGCTGAGCCGTTCGTCGTGCGTGCGTGGTAGGGGAAGAAACCCGCGACGCAAACCCCAAACCGCGTAGTGAGCTCAACGCTGCGGGAAACCTACCGCATACCAATCACTTCATTCCCGCAACGGGGATGTACGATGGTGTTTATCATGTATTCTCCAACGAACGAGAGTTTGGTGGCAACGACCCCTCAGAGAGAGCACAATGAAATTCAATAAAAAACGTCATATATAGTCTATCTACCATCATGTCGCAACAAAAGCCGGCAAGATACACTATCACTGCAAAAGCTTTCCTCAACTCAAAGAAAGTTGCGACAAAGAGAGGCAAAAGGGAACTACACCCTGGCAGGAACTCAGCGATGCTGCGGGGTACGGAGAGTCACGCAAGATTTTCTGCGATCCGACTGTGTTCGGTCGGCCGACTAAGGCTGGTCCTGACCAATTAAAACCGTGCAGAAGCGGTGTACAGAAGCCGAAATCAAACCAGTAGACTAGTCAGCTCTAATGGTATGATTTCGGCTTGTACAGGTACTACCGCTGTAGCCACTCAACAAAATCCGTGGAGAAGCGGTACCAATTACAATAGCCAATCAAATCAACGCGTACAGCAAGCGGTTCAGCAATCGCTGATGGTAAGGATAGGACCAAGATGGGCGCGGCAGAACGGAATCTCAAACCGCCCATTCGCGCGGACTAACAATACCGCAAAGGAGAACATAAGTAAGGCACCCGTTCCGCACCTAATAGCGACCGACCGGTCAGCGGCCAATCAAAATACGCGGCTGGCAACGCTTGTATACAAGCGTCGTGCGGTGTTGTCTGCTCCCGCTTCGCGAGGCAAGACACACACAATGACACACACACACACCGATTCCGGCGCGTTCGGAGACAAATTTACAGAGAATTTACAAGCGTAAGGAACAGCGTAGGCAGGAAGGACAGGGAGGAGCCGCAGCTATTGCAGTTAGCTTGGCTCCAAGGCGGCATCGAGTTCGTCATCCTTCCGGCTCGTCCCAAGCGCCCCAAGGGTGGATGCGCCGGTCGTCGTTGACGGCCCTCGAGACGCGGCCGAGCTGTATCGCCTTGAGTCCCTCGGGCCACACGAGGCCGTTCAGGCTCGACGGGTCGAAACGGTGGCCGAACGCCAGCTTCTTCAAGAGCGAGGGCCACGCGACCTTGGACACCGGCTACGGTGGGAACACGAGGATGGACGTACGGTGGTTGGTTTTCATTGGTTGGTGCGGCGGTGTGTTGACGGGCGGGTACGGAAAAACGAGAACAACAACAAAGTAACGAACGCACTCGGATAGCGCGGCCGATGCTAAAAAAAAAAAAACGCAAACGTGACTAGAAAAGTTGTTCTTCGCGGTTTAGATTGGCGAATTTCGTTCTGTTCGTCCGGTCGCACGGACGAATTGGATTTAATGAACCCATGCACACAGGAGCACCGTCCCGGAAGAGAGAGAGAAAGAGAGAGAGAGAGAGAGAGAGAGAGAGAGAGAGAGATGAGCGAACACCAATCAACGCAATGCAGAGGAATAACCCGAAGACACCGGAAAGCATCCCACGGGCCCATTGAGGAATGAACCACAGCACTTTTTGCGCACACGCGCCAGCCGGCAGATTAGACGCTTTCGATGGCGACCATCGACAACCCGTCGAAACAGCAAGAAATAACGCACGCTCCCCCGACCACACGGCAGTTGCTCACACATGGCACATGCGTGCTGGCACGCCGAGAACTTGCTGGCAGACGAGCCGGAGCGAAAACGAAACAGAGTCGGAACTAAGGGGTGTTTCTGCCGCCAGCAGCATGTTTGAAGTGGCGACACGGCAGCAGCCGGTGTCATCGCGGGCAGCCTGCCAAGGAGGTCACCGTTTACTCTGCCCCCCAAGGCCAGGCTCAATCGCGCCAGCTCTCTCTCTGCCCCCCTCCACAAAGACGATCGAGACGACGGGTTCAGGGGTTGGAGACCCCCTGAAACCGACGTGCCTAACATCAGGCCGGCGATGCTGCAGTTAATTAGACCAAGCATGACGCACGCAGAACTCGATACTGCTTGTGCGATTTCCGCTTTGAAAAAAGGGAGAAGCACGGCGGGGGGGCAACAGGGCACCCACCTTGTTGAACTCTCGACCGAAGGTAATTTCTTCTAGGGCAGTCGGAAACTTGGCCCCTTCCACGGGCTGGAGCATAAGGCAAAGAGTAGAGCCGAGAGCCGGACGCGCAAACACGGCAAGCGGGTGGGTGGGTCATCGCCAAGCGATATGCACAAGAGCAAGGGCGGCGTTTGTAAAAGACGGTAGCGGTACGCGGCGCGCGGTGACCAACAACACCACATTTGCGTCTTGTTTTTCTGCCGGTCTCTGGTGTGTCTTTTTTATCAGCATCGACCGCGCTATCCGATGAAAAGACTTCAGTCTCAGTACGGTAGAAAACACAACATGCTTCGATAGGCCACGATCTGGGACCCTGGGACCGAGCGTCATGGGGGAGTCTGCGCTACTCTCCGGATTAAAGACAGCACTCGTAGCAACAGTAGCAACCTGCGCGTGTCTACCAAGACTTCTACCTTGCACTCGAGTTCGTTTTGGAGTGCTTTCCCCATCATCCTGCTTTCTTTCACCACCATCATTACAGCTATTTTGCGGCAGTTGTCCTCTAGCCCTGTGTCGTTTGTTGTGAGGAAGGTCATCTGGCTCGAAACTCTTGCTCTCTTTCACTCCATGAGTTCCTCCTCCGTTCGTGTTTTGTTCGTTCCCTTGTCCGTGTGTGTATGTGTGTGTGCCTCTCTGTCTGTCTGTCTGTCTGTCTGTCTGTCTGTCTCCCTCTCTCTCGCTGTTTCTCTCTCTCTGCCTCACACGTACACCAACGGCACACAGTAGACCGCGTTACGTAACAGTGAACAAGCACCCCATCCATGTGTGCCCTACCCGCCCTCACACCCCTTCAAGCAAGCCTACATATGGCACCTGGTTAAAAGATCCTCCGAAGGTCAGCTTCTGCAGGGAGGGCGGCCACTCGACCCCCTCGGCGTCGATGCGGTGATTGAACGCCTGGCCGAACGAAAGGCTCTCGAGAAAAGGCGGCCAGAGAACCCCGTCCACGGGCTTGACAGGCGGGCAGACGAACAAGAAAAAAAAAAAAAGGCATAGGAACGGCAAACGTACGGAGATTCCGTCAGCCAAGTGTGTGTGTATGTTCGTCCGACCTACTCTGGGGACAAAAAACAAAAAAAAGCATAGGAACGTTAAACGTAAGGAGATTCCGTCAGCAAATGTCTTGTTTGTGTGATCTTCTCATCTATTCTGGCGCCGGTTTATAGGCCTTCCGGCGTATATACCCGACGTATCAGCCAGGGTCATACAGGAGGAAGCTCACACTGGAGCTTTTTTCTTTTTGTTTGTTTGACCTGTGCCTACCCATACGAGAACAAGCCAACCAAAGCTAAACAATCCTCCAATTCTCACACCAACGATTACATCAACAAGCCTGATAGCAATTGTGGCCCAGGTCGAGTCTGAGGAACAAACACACGTCCCCTCCAATTCTCACACCCATGACATCAAATGACACCAACACACCTGGTTGAAGTTGTCGCCCAGGTCCAGTTTGAGGAGCCCCGGCGGGAAGGTCACCTCGCGGATGGGTTGATTGAAGCTGCGCCCCAGCTGCAGCTGCTTCAGGTCTCGCGGCCACTCCACCCTGCTCAGGTCCTGGTTGAAGCCGCCGTCGAAGCTCAGGAGCTTGAGGTTGGTCGGCCAAATGACGGCGGTGATGGGGTGGTCGAACCTCCACCCGAAGGCGAGCTGCTCCAGCCGGGAGGGGAAGGCCACTCCGTCGACGGCCTGCACGAGAAAAGACAAGACGGCGCTCAAGAGCAGCAATCGAAGCAACAACACATAGAGATTGAGGCCAGCCGGCAGAAAGAGAGACGGCACAATACAGGGCCCACTACTGGAGTACATTTCCCGTGGAAAAGCAACCGGCACGCTGTGAGGAATGCGAGATTTAAGTCGCGCTCAGAACGCGAATGGTCCACCATGGTTGAACACAGTATCATCGTCAAGGCCCAAAGATGAGTTATGCGCGGGTGTGTGGCGGCAGTGGGGCGCACAAATTGCCCGCCTAGTCACCCCGCGCCAGCAACATTCATCTGCATGTCGACCATGATTACAACATCCCGAAGATTCTATTCGCAGGGTTGGGTTCAGAAGGTGAGCTCCTTTATACTCTCCGCTCCTTCAGCACAGTTCTGTAGGTTGCACGGCGTAACCTCTAGTGTAGGTAGGGTAGTACACTCACTCCTTCCATGACGATTCGGTCGGCGCGTGTGTGTATAAATATCCACCTCCCCGCACATAAATCTCATTTGAGTCGACGTGTCAACCATGCTGGATCGGTCGCATTCTGAGCGTGACTCGAGTCTCGCATGCCTCACACATGCATATCGGTTGCTTTTCCCGACGGATTGTGCTATGCGCCAGCCATTATTTGTTTGGAGCGGGAAGAGTTCATGGTTGGCATCCTATGTTTGGAGCTTATGTGCATTCCTGCGGAGGAAAGGACCGATGAAAGAGTCACGTTTTCCCGTCAAGTCAGGTTATGAACAGTTCCGGAGAAATGTGGCACGGTATACCCCGGGCTATTCCGGGCACGGCCGAGTGCAAGTGGAACTTGACCAATCACCAAGGCCCGTTTGACGCTGCCAAAGCCTAGCTGATACTTCTTGGCATAAGGGTATCACCGGTTATGTCGTTTGCCCTAAGTTTATGTTTCCATACTTGAGTATTTTTCGTTGTTTTTTGCCAAAATGCCAGTGATGAAACTATGCACAACCCACACCCACACACCTGGTTGAACTTGTTTCCGAGGGAGAGGAACTCAAGGTTTTGGGGCCACGCCACTCCTGTCAGGGCCTGATCGAAGAAGTCGCCAAGAGCAAGGAGCCTCAGCCCGGAGGCCCAGACGGCGCCCTGGATCTGCTGGTTGAAGACCCTTCCGAACAGGAGCTGCTCGAGCCCCCTGGGCCACTCGACGCCGTCGACGGGCTGTTGGTCGTTGGTTGTCGTTGGAGCGGAACGAGAGAATTCGAGAGATCGAGAATAGAAGGAATGTTGCAGCAGGAGAAGACTGATGCTGCTGCGAAAGCGGAGGCTTTTCGGAGCCGATGCCCGTTGTGCGGGCTGTTGTGTTGCAACAAGAGAATCGAGAATGCCAGGAACGTTGAAAGGGGAGACCGATAATGCTGACGCCGCGACAACGCAGGCCTTCGAAAGCCGACACATGTTGTTGGGGCGGAACAAGAGAGGAGATGATCGAGATTGAAAGGAACGTTGCCAGAAGGTCCTGCTGTGATAGCGGAGGCTTTCGGAACCCGACACTTGTTGTACGCGATGTTGGTGGTTGTCGTCGGAGAGGAACACGAAGACAGAGAACTAGGAGTATAAGAAACGTAGGTACAAAGGGCCCCAAGCCTACCGGAAGGGGGGAAAAAAGCAAGGCGGCCTCCAATGTTTCAGCCTTGGAGGCACGCGATCAGTACGAGAGGACCACCCAATTCCCTCTCAAAAGCACAACCGCACCTGATTGAACAAGCTCCCGAACATGAGCCTCTGCAGGGAAGAAGGCCACAGCACGTCCGCGATTGGGTGGTTGAAGCGCCACCCGAAGGTGAGCCTCCGCAGCCCGGGGGGGAACGATACGCGGTGGATGGGCTGGTGGAAGCGGCCTCCAAAGGTCAGGTCTTCCAGCCCCAGAGGCCACGAAACCAGGTCGATCGGCTGGTCGAAGGACTGTCCGAACGTGATCGTCTTGAGGGAGGGGGGTAGCTGCACGCCGTCTAGTGGCTGTGATGGTTTTAAAAGGCGCGGGAGTCACGGGAGGCAGACGGAGAGTATCGGACAGACGAGAAAACAGGAAATACAAAAACAAATCTTCATCATTGGATGATTTCGGGGCAGACAGCCAGCAGACAGGCATGTATACGTGGGGTGCTTGTCCACGAGGAACTATCAACGCCGTCCTTATGTACACAATCTCCCCACAAGACGACTGAAACAGCAGCAGTTGATTGACAGGCAAGGCGGAAGCGGCGAGACTAAAGTAGGCACATTCACCAGACACGGCACGTCATCATTTTCATCCTCCTTCAAGACGCGAGAGGCTGCGGGACCATCCGCGAACGCCCTTGACAGAAGTGGTGTCGACGCTCAACGAACTACAAGTTGGTGCAGGGAGGAGGGTCTCCAACTCGTGTCCCGTTACACGTCGGTCCTCTTAGATGGGAAACACCGTACCACAAGGCACAAAAGAACACATGGTTCATGGAACCAAAACCGACCGCAACGTCGGTGAACGGGAGGAGGGTCTTCTCCAATCGAGTCTGTCGGTCCTCGCAGATGGGAAACAAGTACCACAAGACCGAACGGCGATCAACTGCGCGGGAGAACCAAGAGCGCAACACACAGTCCTAACGGCACACCGACAGCACCGGCACTAGCAGAGCACAACCGCACCCATTTCTGCAGTCTCACACCACCGACTCCTGAAGTAACGCCTTCCAAGTTCGTGGTCGCAGTTGAGGAAGACGAGCCGTACTCCTCGAATACGTGACAGCACCCCGGTAACGACCCATCATACAATATATACCTGGTTGAACTCCCACCCAAACGTCAGCCTCTGCAGGGAGGGCGGCCATGCGATGCTGTCGATGCCCTGACGTTTCCAAAGGGCCGGGAGAAAGGGGCGGGAAAAGCATGACAAAGAGGCAGGAGCAACAAGCGTGTCGCTACGCGACTGAACCTCTGTCCCTTCGCTACCGTACGAACCCCCGCCCTTCGCCTGGCACGGCTGGGTGCCTGCCGTTCAAATGCTATTGAGCAGGTCCTAGGCTCACGCGTTCGTCTGCATGCTTTCTTCCGCGTTGTTTAATGCGGGCCATCCACATGCCTCCCGGCGACCCTGGTTTTGACCCTGCTACCCCCTGAGTACCGATGGCCTTCCTTCATCACCAACTGCCGCCTTCGATGCTGACTGGTGGTTTTACATAATGAGGCTGCGTGCAGATCGTGCTCATCCGTCTCGCTGATAGGGTCGCCGATAGGGCCACCCCAGCAAACAAAAATCTGCTACACTTGCAGTGAGCTCCGGCCCACAACCGCTGTGTGCAATTTTGCTTGAACTTCGGTAACGCCGGCGTCGCAACCCCTATACATATTTCGTACACCCAGCTGATACACGATGTACAGAGCCTGAAGTCACGGTATTGCACGGGCTTGTTGGGTCGCAAGCGGGTCAAGAGGGCTTGCGTGTCCGGGTCCTGCGAGATCTCTGGCATGACAATCAAAACCGTGCCATCGAAGCGCGACATAAAGATGTCGGCGGCATCTCCACACCCTGTTATAGTATGTTGCGCTCCTCAAGCCCGCGCTGCATCTTGACCCGCAAAAGATAAATGGCTGGGAACGGCAGAGCGCCTCGGCGACGACCGACTGAACTGCACAGCAGTGAGGAAACCCACCCACCAACAGCAGTGTCGCGGGGTGGTCAGAATCGTCTGCCGTACGTTACGCAAGACACCACACCCCCTGGAGGTCGATTACTCCACGACAAAAAGAGGATGTATAATTGAATCATACGGCACGTTTCGGAAAGATCTCGACGGTATAGACGGTTCCAACGCCGCCGCCATTTTCGACCCCGGTACAACTGTTTTCGCTGCAGAGAATCAATCTTTGAAAGATGGGTCCAATGGGAGTGGTATCTTGTGGACCCCACGGTACATAGCTAGCTATGTGGCCGACCGTATACATACCTGGTCGAAGTTCTGTCCGAAGGACAAGCTCAGCAGGCTCGTGGGGAACGAGACCCAGCCGACGTCGAAGTAGCGAAAGCTGCACGCGAGGTGCAGGCTGTGGAGCCCCGGGGGGAGCGCGCGTCCGTGGGCCAAGTCGCTCAGCGGTCGCTCCCAAGTCATCGTCGTCACGCGGAGGGGAGGGATCGACTGCCCCTTCCAGCCGTGCTGCTGCTGCTGCTGCAACCGCCATGGCAGCAGCCCTCCTTTTCCGCCGCTCGCGCTGCTGCTGCCGCCGGTCCGGTAGCCTGTGCCGCCCGCGTTCTCTTTCCCGTTGAACCCAGCCGCGAGCCGCCTGACTCCGACCCCGCCGCTCGCGGTGGCGACGCTGTTCCCGATGGAGAGCATCCTCCCGCCGCCGCCAGGGCCCCTGCCGAAGAGGACGACGCCGGCGGTCCTGAGCGGCCACAGCGCCCGCGGCGTCGAGTAGTCCACCCGCAGGTGGCTGCCGACGTACTCCCTGCAGTCCCGGCACAGCGTTCCCGAGGCCTCCTGCAGGTGTTTGCCGCTGGCGAGGTCCAGCCACCCGCCCGACGCGACCAGGAAGCTTACGTCCAGAAGGGACGGGCCCGCGGCGGCGGCAGCGGTCGTAGCAGGAGAGCCAGCAGCCAGCACGGCGGGCTGGTCGGCGCCGCCCGCAGCGGCGGCGGCGGAAAGCGTGGCGGCGGGGAAGCTTGCGGGAGATGCCACCGCCCCCGCCGCCGCCGCCGCTCCTCTCGATGGCGGCGGCGGGGCTGGCAACGCCGGCGCGACGTTGACACTTCGGTGTTTCATTCCAGGCGGGGTTCGGCTCGGGCTAGTGTTGCCGCCTTTTTCGCGACACGCAGACATGTACCGCGACAAGACGTCAGCAGGGAAGAGAAATATGAGGGCAACGATAGGGGGGTCAGGAGCACACAACGAATGGTCCGTGTGCCCACAAACAGTGTCGTCGCAACCTTGCAAGCACCGATGCCCAGCACCAGAACCAGGGGGGCCACTGCAACGGAAGCACGGAAACCAAAACGTGCGGTTCGTCGGCAGGGTATCCTCGCTCCATCCCGAACGGTGTATCTACCAAATGACGTCGACACGGCGGTGAATCTACCAAAAGATCTACATGAGCCGTGGTGAGACGCCTGCGTCCCGGATGCTATTCATTTCCTTGCACATATAGAATAAACACATCCACCCGTAAGGACACGTCACGGGGATGATAATGATACCCAAGGCGGAGGTGTGTCGCAGACCGAGGGCTGGAAACCTGGGGCATGGTCTATGGCCCGTGTCTACCTCCATAAACCAACACGGCTGTCTGCTAACCGTGTTACCGGCGTTGTTTTTTCTCGTGAACGTGAGCGCCGCGATGACGAAATGACCGCCTGTATCAAACGAACCGAGTAACCCCCGTCCCGACAACCCCACGTTAATGAGGTTGCAGCCGCCACATTTTGAGATCCCCGTCGCATTTTCAGGTACAGCAGCAGGAATACCGCACCGTAATCTCGAACTTGTGCTGTCACTGACGCCTCGGAACCGAGCAGCAGTTCTCTTGTGATCGATAGTATTCGAAACGTTGTGGATGTTCCAACCAAGGGCGCGCTATCCATGCATGTTTTCCACCAACACCCCTTCTCTGTTCGTTACGCATCCCAGATTTTGCTGTTGACGCGTCAACACGCCCTTTAGATCCGGGTTGTACTGTAGGGGAGAGAAACGGCGGTGTACAGGTGTCGTGGACAAGAGAACAAATAAGCAGGTGTATTGCATGCGACTCCAAGGATTCGCGTCGAAGCCTCGAGGCAGCAGCAGGGAAATCGTCAGAAAACCAGGCCAACAGCAGCAACAACAGCCGGGCTCATAAGTAGCAAGCATCTCTCCAGGAAAAAAAAAGTAGGACTGCGTTGTCTGCACCACTGCTGTACAGGCTTACGACACCGGTGAGGATTCGGTACACACCAAATGATGGGCTTGCTGTGAGGGTGTGTGTTGGAGTTCTTGCTGTGAAGGTTCAGTGACGCCAGCAGAGCATGGGGTGTGTGGGATTGTGTGCTGCAGCGGCTTTTCCGGCTGGAACGAAAAATCTTGGATTGTGTACTAAAGTTTCTTCATAGCACAAGGGGAGCATGTTGAACTTCAACGACGTTGGTTTTTCATCGGTGTGTGCGTGCTGACTCTTTTTTCGTGAGTGAGCAATGAATTTTGACGAAGACTTATTACAGTACATGGAATGGTGCCTTGACCTGCGCTTCTTCGGAACATGGGCGTTTTGCATGGTTGGCATGACGTCGGAGTGTGACGCGTGTTCCGGCAGCGCGAAGCATTTTCAAACCTCTTGAGCCTGGAAGCATGTGCCCCAACCGACTGCAAGAATATAAAACAACTACTTAGTTATAGACTAAAGGTGATGGGGAAGGAGCTTGTGTAAGTGCGAAGCGTAGATTTGACCACATGAGGCTGGGAACAAGGCCCACAAGAAGCCACGGGTGTTGTTGCACGCGCAAGACAATTCACAATCGCAGCCGACGTGCTGGTTGGGTGAGACGGATGACAAACCGGGAGGAGCGAAGGTTGACTCTTTTCAACTTGGGAGTATGTTTTGGGTGTGTCCGCTGGCGGTGTGATGTACGCCACATGCCACACCGTTCGTTAGGTTCAACAGAAGCTCATCAACGGCAATGTCCCCCATGTCTTGCCGTGCTCGCACACCAATTGCACCTGTTGTATGTGACATCTGTCAAGGAAGTTCGCTGTCGGCGGGTAGTTGCAGTAGTACCCGCGATCATCGGTGCGCTTGTAAGGAGTACATACGTGCGCAAATGATACGTGCGCCGGAGGCGACTACGGCCTCCTAGCAAGAAGGTCCAGCGCAATCGACAGGCCCTTGAAGTGATTCTCACCTTCATCTCTATGCCTTCGCCGATTCAGCTGCTGCTCAAGCTGCTGCATGCCGCCCGATGTCCTGAGACAAGATGTGTGCTCTTTTGGACGATCCGATCCCAGCGCCCCCAACAATCTAGCCGCAAAATGACGGGTGTGTCACTACATTTCGCGTGCCCCCCTCGCGCTGTCTAGCCCTGACAACCTGGAGCACACACACTCTCACACATTTCCCCACAACAACAACTGGAGCACAGCAGTCTCTTCTCTCCCAAGGAATCCCAAGGAAGAAACAAGAGGAGAGCAACAGAAAGAGGAACTGGAGAGGCGTGGAGCAAAGAGGTTCCCGACAGATGTCCGCCGGCACGGCGACCAAGCGATCCCGGATCGGGCATCGCCTCCTCCTCAAGATGGGCTTGAGGAAGGTGGGGTTCTGCCCCATGTTCGACGAGGCCCACGAGAAGTACACCTGGCTCACGCACTACGTCGAGGAGATGCAAGAGTCCCTGTCGGCCTACGCTCTGCAGGTGCGTCGCCCGTCTCACAACTAGTAGCATCGCGTGCACATTGCAACGCATCGCCCAGGGCTGCTGATGATCCAACAACAAGCGCGCGTTTTTGTTGCGGAGATCGCGTCTGTCGTTGTTCATTCGTAAAAGAAATTCAGTAGTCTTCCCATCTCCACATAGAGCTCCCGCTTCTGATTTTAGGACACCAGCCCGAGAGATAGCTGCCGACACCTGCTAACCTCTGACCATTCCACCGTGCAACTCCCGCCGGACCGGAGTGCAGAGCAAGACCTCTACGTCTGCCGTTTGCAACCACCCCTCGTACGCCAGTCGAGAAGAGCAAAAGCGTCTCGCCATGCGACATTTCTCGTAACGATATTTTGGGGTCCGGAGGGGGGTGGGCCGTTACATCGAGAGTCTCATGTCTTGCTGTTGCTCAACATATACAATAGCTGCTCTCTGTTCGCCCCGACCGCAGCAGCATGCGATGCTGGCCGCTCCGTGCAGAGGCACGCATCACTTGCCTAGCAGCGGCGGTGGCCATTGTCAAGCGCGAGCGTGACGTGAGGGTGCGCAACATTAGTTTTCTTTGGGGGATCTCGTTTTCTTTTCCAACCCGAAACCGCTTGCTGCTGTGCTGTGGTTGCCGGGACTGTTGGGGCGGTTGTTTATTTGGACCGGTCCCCGCCCCTCAAGGGTTGTCGCCGCGGGCGGGGGAAATTCACGACACGACCTTCGATGACTGCTGGCAGGCCTGACAGCTACCTAACCGTCGCCACGACGGCACTCACGCACGCGAACGTTTACTGTCATCGTTGTCTCTCCTCTCCTTGAGCAGTTGCTCTCAGCACGGTGAAAAAAAAAATGAAAACTAAACTTGGAAACACTACAGCTGTTGTAGTTGGTGCAGCCCCGCTTTCCCCTCACCCTGACGCCTCGCTTTTTTCTCGCGCTTGCGCTCGTTTGGCAGCCGAGCCGTGCTCTCTGTTGGCGTTCGGTCGGTTGTGAAGTGTGAACCATCTATCTGGCACATGTTGTGTTTTGTTTTCGGGGCCACGCAGTAGCTCCTCCCTCCTCTTGGCAACGTTCCTTATCCTTATTCTCAAAATCTCTCAAAATTTTTGTGTCATCGACCGTTCAACAGCGCGTGCTCAAGATGTTCATGTGCCCCACATGGTACCGCCTCGTTCGACCCGCGTTGGCAGTATTGTCGAGGACGTCGCTTTTTTTTTTTTTCTGTGCGTTAGTCTCTCGCGGTGTTGCACAGCGGCTGCGCCTCTGGTACGTAAATATCTAAGCTTCGAGACACTCGCGAGCTTTAGAGACATCCTAAACCGCAGGGTTGATTTGAAACAAGAAAAAAGGAAGAATCGCACGATCATGACGGTAGTACCGGTTGAAGTACGCAGTTCCAAGCAATCGTCTGTTCAATCTGATCAGGAGATATCGCTGCTGTGCGTTGCTTTTAGGATCTATAGAGAAGCATGTGTACTGCTGTAGGTCGCAACGCTGAGTATGAAATCGTCGCGAAATATTTCATCCAGACGTGTTCGTACCTCCAACATCATACAAATACAATTCTACAAACGAGAATAAATCAGCAACACCTTGGCAACACTACAAAAACCATATTCGCATTCGTTCGACATGGTTTCATCGGCGTTGACGTGCTCAACGCGAGCTTTCGGCGTGACAGCGTTCTCGATTTGACGGAGGTTTAGTTGCACGTGTACATACATTCCCACCTAAATTTGTGTTCCATTGTTTTTTTTTCTGCATTTGCAGTTCTTGCCCTACGGTACAACCTTGCCTCGTGTCTGCTTGGGTCGGCCCTTTGAATTTTTTCCGGAAATGAGCTTGTTGTCTTTAGCTGTTGGGGTGAAGTTTTCGCCGGTGGAGGTGCTTTTCGGTGAGCAGTTTGGATTGGAACGATTTATGTGGAGCGAATCATAATTGCCTAGAAAAGATTACGGAAAACGGGGAATTATGTTTGATTGAAGTCGGGAAGTTGCAAACTGCTGCTGCCATGGAGACAACAACCACAGCAACAGAAAACAACAAACACCCAACACAGCTAGCGCGAACTGACTTGACTACAGACTCTTCGACAACAGCCCTGTTTGTCTCTCCTTTTTTGCCTCTTTCCGCTCTCCCCTTTCTTTTTCTTTCTTCTTTTCCTTCATATCTAACACAACAAGATCCATCTTTACGTAACATGTCCATAGGGAACAGGTTCTATGCATGATGATAAATTAGTGATGAATTCATTGCATGTAGTTTAGCTGTTGTTGCGATTTTATAATCTACCCTTGAACCTTCTCTCTCTGTCTCTGCTGTCTCTCTCTGCGAACAGCTAGCGCGAATGACGGAGGCCGCGAGAGGGGTCGGGGAGGACGCATCTCACATTTACCTCATCCGCGAACGGGGTTTCAAGCCGGCGGTGGCGTTCAAGCAGGCCCAGGACATGGGGCACAGCGGCTACGCCGGCCAGCTACAGCAGGCGCTTGTGAAGGGGGTCGTCGAGCCTATCGGAGAGTGGCTCAGAGACGTGAGTAGCTGCGTAAGCGTGTACAGTAGTACTGGTAAACGCCCCCTTCCAGCTGCCAAGTGCGAGCTTCAGTCAGCTAGAGACAGCAGCAGACGTCGATTGGGTCTTGATCATATGTGGCACTGGTACCCAACCTTGCACAACCTTGCAAACAGTGAGTAGAAGCTGCTGCTGTCATCAACAGACAACAGCAGGCGTGAGAGAGAACAGCGGGGCTGTCTTTTATCATATCGTGGTGGATGCGTTGCGTGCTCTGTTACGAGATCGTGCGTCTTATCGTTGGAGTTGGGTTTAAACGACCAAACGCAGTAAGCATCGTAGGAAGACATGCAACTTTTTTTGGGTGGAGACGTTAACCCGGGAGCGGCGGAGGAGGCATGGGTAGTTTTTTTCATACTACGATTGTGTATGCCCGGCGAAGAAAGGTATCATCACTATGGTTGGAACTAGAAGAACGTGTACCGATTTTGCGCGCTCGTGTACCGAGGAACCAATACGGGGTATGTCGGAGAGATCCAGATGCGAGATAACCCTGCCTCGCTCCCGCCCCATGTTCCCCCGGTCTGTAGGGAGAACGTCTAGCATATTTGATCGCTGGGACTCTTGTCTAACTAACTTAACTGACTTGCTGCCTGTCTTGTCTGTCTTGTGGACATCCCAGCTCGAGAGCATCGAGGGCCTGGTGACGGACTTCAATGAGATACGAGTCCAGCACGACCACTACCGTCTCAAGGTCGAGGACCTGTCCCAAAAGGTGCGTCGTTGTGCCGTGTGCTAGTGACCACCAACCAACCACCGCGAGCACTGTCGTCGTAACGTTTGTAGACACCAAAGTCCTTGCAAAAAAAAAAAAAAAATGGTTGCTGCTGTCACTCGCTCCCTAACCTTCGTTCCCCGTTGTGTTTTCTCTCCCTCCTGGCTCAACCCGTGTGCCTCCCGTCTTCCCCTGTGACCTAACTTGACTGCAATGTGTTGGTCCTCAAGAAAATATGTAGACCGGTGTTTCGAAGCCCTCTACGCGTGTGCATGCACGGATCGTGAGTGTCGGAGTAAGTATTTGAAGCCTTGTTCCACCGCCTTCGTTGGTTGTTGACACGCTGTTCGTGTTGGATGTGGTTGTGTGATTCTCAGGCTAGAGCGCTAGAAGCCCGGGCGACAACGCGCGGAGACAGCAGAGACGCCAAGCAAGCCGCCGAGAAGCTGAAAAGGTATGCTACTGTCGCTGTGTCAAGTGTTTTGTGTGTGTCGCGCGGCCAGCACGTCTGCACCAAGCAAAAGTATGCTCCAAGCAAAGGTGTGCATCACGAAAGGTAACACCAAAAAAGTTACGCCGATGTCTGTTGCATGCTGCCCAAGTTTGGTTACAGAGCGAGTTTCGCTCATGCCTTGGCTGTAAGTTGCTAGCTCGTGCGTTGCACATGTTCCGTTTCCTGCGAGCTGGCCCCTCACTCACTCCCGCTCTGCCACCCGAACCCGCTTGCTGCTGCTGCTGGTTGGGTGTGTCTCGCTGCTCGACGACGACACCCATCACCGCCACGCTCTCTCGATGCTCTCTCGATGTATGGATGTATGGGGATGGGATGGGATGATGGGTTGGCTTCGATCGACCGAAAAGGAACACGAAAAAGCTGAACGAGGTGACGGTGGAGTTCGACAAGAAGCTGAGCAGCTGCTGTAACCGGATGACCCGGGCGTGGGACGACCGCGAGAAGATGATGAACGGCATCGTCGCCCGCATCGTCCACTTCCAGGTGTGGCCCTGTGTTGATTTGATAACACGGGAACTTCCTGCGCCCCGCCGCCGCGGGCGCTTTTTCCCTCTTTCTCTATTTCTGTTTTTGACAATCACACGTGGGAGTACATTTTGGCCGTTGTTTTTGTTAACAAATCTCACCTCACGGGACACGCTTTTGCGCTGGCTGGCTGCCTACCTCTCATCACTGTTTCTGGCGCCTACAACTCTGCACCTTGGTTCCCATGTTATGCTGCACCTTGGACCCTACCTATGCACTGGGCAGAGAGACCGGAACGGTTTTTGATGTGAAGACAACAACAACAACAACAACTCGCTCGTTGCTGCACGTGCATGCAGAAGGTTATTTCTGCAAAACCAACCCTATCTTTACCCTATCCCTCTGTCTAACCCTAACCACTTGGCACCTACTTGCTGTATGTATGCACCGTGTGAAAACCTACCTACTTGCCTGTGCATCCAGGAGTCCTTCTTTGCCGAGCAGCTTATGAACAGCCTGGGCGTCGCACGTATATTGAGCGCGGCGGAGGGGAGCGGTCCGAGGTGGGGAGGTACCATGGGGATAGAGCCTTTCGTGCCCAAGGGACACGTGCGCCACTACGAGGGGGAGCTCCTGAGAAAGCACATGGTACGTAGAGGAGACCCTTGTTGGGGGGGGGAAGGGGGGTCGGCACGCTGACTTGTTGTTGGTGGTGGTCGTTGGAGCCTGGCCTGGCAAAGGGGATTGGGGATTGTCAGGGAGACACTTTGGTTATCCTTTTGAACGTCTTGAATAGACGAAAACAATTACGCCCAGAATCAATACGGGAACAAAAAACCCAACTCTCGTCGTCTTCACGGTAAGAATCGTGCCGGTCTCTACTCAGGACCACCTTCCAAAATACGGTATCCGAACGGATCCAACTCTTTGTCTGACCGGGCGGGGCGCCTTCCGTGCATGCACATCTACTTCCTCCAGGTGATGAAGGAGCGGATGTGGTACCGCCTGGTGGGGTCCTCCCTGGAGGCGTACGACATGAAGCCCAAGGAGGGCCGGGACAACACCCCTATGTATGTCGTCACGGAGCTGCCGGTCGCGGTCTACGAGGTGAAGGGGGTCACCAAGATCTCCGGGGTCAACTTCCGGGTGACCGTGCTGGGCGGCGGCGAGACCGGGGGCGGCGGGCTTAACTTGTACGCGGCCGACGAGGTGGACGGGAAAGGGTGGATGGACGCCCTCACCAGGGCCTCGGAGTGGGACCAGCTTGCCTCGTCTAACAAGGTGCGGGTTGGGCGGGGGGGGGCTTGCGTGTTTCGTTGTGCGTGGCAAGTGATTGTGGGTTGACTTTGATGTTAGCGTAGCGTCGAGAACGCACGTTCACACCGGCTGCAGTCCCCGTCGTCGAGGCATGTAGGGCAAGCATGTGTTGAGATTGTTTTCAGCGTTTTACCGGGCGTGCGCATGTTGATGTTTTGTTTACTCGTTTACGCAAGAATGAGGTCGATGCTGGCTGGCGCCTGCTTTTTTTCTGATGTTCCCCCTGCCTCGCTGTTTTGTTTTTCTTGGTCGACCAAACGCGCGTGTGTGGTTTGCTTGCATGCATGCACGCGCACCACCAGGTGGAGGCCCAGGTGCGCGAGTCGAGAGCCTTCCTCAACCGGTGCAAGACGGCGCACGCCAACAACACCACGACCGACGGCCTAGAGAGGGACCTGGGCGTGACCGAGGCGCTGGCGAACCCGCCGCCGCTGCCGGCGGACCGCCCGGACGCGAAGACGTACAAGTCCACTACCACGGACGCCAACGGCGGCGGCGGCGGTTCGGCGGCGGGCGGCAGCGGCGGTGGAACCGAGGCCGCGGGCTCCGGCGGGGGTTCCAAGGCGGCAGGAATCGCCCCGGGGGGCGAGGCCGGGGTGGCCGCCGCCGCCGCCGCCGCTGCCGTGATGGCGGCCAAGGCTAAGGGGAAGGGGGGAAAGAACGGTGGAGGCGAGAAAAAAACAGAACATGCGAACGGCACGAAGGGAGGGGGCAGGGGCGGCGGCGGGTTGCTGCCCCCGGGTCTGACCGGCCCCGGTGGGCCCGTCGGGGGCATGGGCGGGGGGGTGGGGATCGGCGGGG